GTACTCCCATCCCAGTAGGGTTTAGAAACACTGTTACGGGTGCTGAGTGGACATGGAGTGCCTGGACACTTTGTCACCCAGGTACCCCCTACGCCACCTGCAGGATTCAGCTTGGTGGGTGGCTGGTGTCAGTAGACTCTGAGACAGGCAGGAAGGTCATGTCCCCTCGGACCTCCATCTCTCTAATCTCGTCCCTTCCAGGTTGTCCCTCGCTTGTGTGGGGGTTAGGAGGGAGCCTTAAAGGAGGTTCTTGTACCTGGGGATGAGCAGGTGTAAGGGGTGTGGGGAGTCACTGCTACTAAGGACCCCTAGGGCACTCAGGATTAAGCCACATTTTAGGAGTTGGAGAAATGGTTCAGCTGTTAAGAATGCTTCTTGTTCTTCCAGAGAACCCGAGTTCTGTTTCCAGCACCCATGCCGGGACTCTCACACTCTTCTGGCCTCCATAGGCACCAGCGTACATTCAGACAGACGCACAGACTCATACACATTAGTAAAATAAATCTTGCTGGATGTAGGCACGCACACTTTAAATTCCAGCTCTGGGGAGGCAGAGGCAGGCAGATCTCTCTAAGTTCAAGGCCATCATAGTCTACATAGGGAGTTTCATGCCAGTCAGACCCTGTCACAAAATAGATACAATATTTAAACGAAAAGCCCCATTTATAATGAGCAGTGGCACTGACAATCACAGCTAATCAGCCTTGGTGACCACATCCAACTGTGCCTGGGAGACTTAAAAGCATCACTCATTGGTCCATCCTGTGTTGGGCTCTCCCCAGCCAGGGCATCTTCTGCATCAGCCCTCCATATCCCTGTATTATTTTAAAACACACTTACAGAGGCAATCACCAGTCCACTTTTATCTCTTTTTTAATTTTACTATTTTTTATGTGTATGATACATTTCTGGCTGTGTGTGCAGTGCTGGAGGAAGCCAGAAGAGGGTGTCTGATCCCCTGGAACTAGAATTCAAAGCAGTAGTGAGCTGCCATGTGGGTGTTAAGGATTGAACATGGGTCCTCTGGAAAAGTAGCCAGTGCTCTCAACCTCTGAGCCATCTCTCCAGCCCACTAGCCAACTTTCAATGAAAGAAACAGGATTTCAGCAGTCACCCATGACCCTACCTGTCACAGGTTATGGTGAGGCCCAACTTTGGTTTTAAACCAAGGTCAACAGGCCCCCAAAACCGTGCTGTATAGGAACCAAGGAAGTGTGATTGGGAACTCTGAGGAGCTAGGACTTGGAAGTGCCCAATGATTTCGGCCAGCAGTTGAGGGTTACTGCAGGGTAGAGGTCCAGAGCCTTGTCCAGGAAGTCTCCTTACAGCCAAGGCATTGTAGAGATTATGGCTGGAGGGGTTAAATGGCACTGTTACTCCAGCATGGACCCCAAGCACCTGCCTCAATGCACTCCAGTTTCTTTTACTGGCCTGCAGCTTGCCAATTAGGCTAGGCTGAATAGCCAGTGGGTTCCAGAGTGCTGACGGTCTCCAGCTCCTCTGAGCTAGGATTAGAAATGTGTTTGACCACTCCTAGCTTTTTAAAATTCACTTTTGGGGCATTTCACATGAGTGCTGTATTGACATTATTTCCCCCCCACACACACTTCTTCCATCTCACATGTCCATCCCACTCCTCAAAGCCATGGCTTAATCTTTCATTATACTTGTTACACACAGAGACACACAGTTTATAAATACAATCTGCTGAGTTCATTTAATATTGCTAATCTCTCAGATTGGCTACCTTATCAGGGAGTTTGTGCCCGAAGAAGACTGGTTCGCCCTACCCCCAGCAACCATCAATTACCTATAGTTCTCTTTCTAGGTGTGAAGCCTGTGAGAATTCCCCTATCCATGTTGGCACGTCATGGGTGGTGTTATTTTTTTAGGTCTTGTTTAGGCAACAATATTGTTGAGATTTTTCTGGGTGCTGCTTCCCTGACCAACGTAAAAGATACTATCTCGAAACAGACATAGACCCATATCCTGTCCCAGGCTTCTGGCTCTTCCAGTGTTTCCACGTCCTCTTTTGTGATGTTCCCTATGCGTTGGGTGTAGAGGCTGTGTTTTAGATCTATCAGCTGGGGCTGGGCACCGTGGTCAGTTCTCTGCACTTTCACCAGTTGTGGCTTTCTGTGATGCTCTTCAGCCACTGTGCAGAAGAAGTTGCTTCCGTGGGGGTGAGAGCCACACTTATATTTGGGTATAAGGCTAAGTAATTAGAATTCAGTCAGAAATGTTATTGGTTTAATGAAATGGCCTTGCCAGCCAGGGTAATGGGCCAGCTTTTTCTTGTTTTTATAAACAAAGCAAAACATGGCGTGCTAGATAGTTTTATATCAACTCGACATGATCACTTGAGAGGAGGGAACCTCAGTTTAAAAAAATACTTGCATGGGGCTGGAGAGATGGCTCAGCGGTTAAGAGCACTGACTGCTCTTCCAGAGGACCTGAGTTCAATTCCTGGCAACCACATGGTGGCTCACAACCACCTTGAATGAGATCTGGTGCCCTCTGCTGGCCTGCAGGCAGAAGACTGTCTATGTAAAAAATAAATAAAATCTTAAAAAAAAAAATACTTGCATAAGATTGGGTTGTAGGTAAGCCTGTATGGCATTTTCTTAATTAGTGAACAATGCGGGAGGGCTCAGCCCATTGTGAATAGGGCCATCCCTGAGCTGGTGGTCCTGTTTGTTTGTTTGTTTTTCGAGACAAGGTTTTTCTGTGGCTTTGGAGGCTGTCCTGGAACTAGCTCTTGTAGACCAGGCTGGTCTCAAACTCACAGAGTTCCACCTTTCTCTGCCTCCCAAGTGCTGGGATTAAAGGTGTGCACCACCAACGCCTGGCTGGTCCTTGGTTCTATAAGCAAGTAGTCTGAGAAAGCCATGAGGAGGTAAGTGTCTTGGTTAGGGTTTCTATTGCTGTGATGAGACACCATGACCAAAGCACTCTTATAAAAGAAAAACATTTAACTGAAGTGGCTTACATTTTCAGAGGTTTTGTCCATTATCATCAGTGTTGGGGACCATGGCAGTGTGCAGGTAGACGTGGTGCTGGAAAAGGAGCTGCTACATGTTGATATGCAGGCAACAGGAAGTAGACTGTGTGTCACACTGAGCATGGCTTGAGCATATATGAGACCTCAAAGCCCATCTCCTCTAACAAGGCCACACCTCCTAATAGTGCCTGTGGGGACCATTTTACTTCAAACCACCACAGCCAGTAAGCAGCACTCCTCCATGGCCTCAGTATCAACTCCTGTCTCCAGGTTCCTGCCCTGGTTGAGTTCCTGTCCTGACTTCCTTCAATGATGAACAGTGATATAGGAGTGTATGCCAAATAAATCCTTTCTTTACCAACTTTCTTCAGTCACAGTGTTTCATCACAGTAATAGTAACCCTGACTAAGATGAATGGGTTGTGGGTAATGAACTCAGGTCTTTGTGCTATCACCTAACCTTGAGCTATCACCAAGCTGCTCCCCTGTTTCTTTTCTTCTTTTGTTTTTTGAGACAGGGTTTCTCTGTGTAACCTTGGCTGTCCTGAAACTTGCTCTGTAGACCAGGCTGGTCTCAAACTCAGAGATCTGGCTGCTTCTGCCTCGTGAGTGCCAGCAATAAAGGCTTCTGCCTCATGAGTGCCAGCATTAAAGGCGTGCACCAGCACTGCCTGGCCTGCTCACCTGTTTCTTGAAGAGGATGCTCTGTGATCTTAAAGCTTCTGGGCCCATAGAACCTCAGTTTGTCCTGGAACTGTGGTGTCTATCACTCCACAAACCTCAAATCTGATTCTTCCATACAGAGGCCTAGGACTCCTTGCTGGGGTTGTCCCTGGACACCTTCAGAGACAGCAGGCCAGGCTCCTGTCTGGAGCATCTCCCACCCCAGTCCTTTGCCTCTTCCAGAAAGCAACACAGATGGTGATTTGTTTCTACAAGTTGGGTCAGTCTTTTAGCTAGTGTCTGGGACCATGCCCTCATTAGGAACCAGGTGAAGGTCTCAGCTGGCCCTGGGAGAGGCAGTACCAAGCTGGCTACACATGGGTACAAAGCTAAGCTAGGAGAGATATAGGTACCATCTCCTCCCCTGTTGATCAATGCTGCCTTGGGTCTCAGTTTTCCAGAGGCTTTCTCTGGTCTCCATGTCCAGAACCTCCTGCTCCAAAGAGCAACAACCCCTTGAAGGTAGGGCCTGCCTCTTAGCACAATTCTGCTTCAGGACCACTGATGCCTGGCAGCCTCGGGCAGATGCTTCCTCCTAAAGACAGAGGCTAGGGACTATTCCAGCTCCTCTGTCTAAAAGCCCTGAGGGTTCTTCTGAACTCTGGGTCTCTTTGGCCAGGCTGTGTCCTTGTACTGGAGACTCTCTGCCTGCCTACTCTTATGACCACCCCTGCTTGGCAGATCAACAAGGTGTGGAAAAACAGGCTAAGGATGAGCCTCCAGTTTTGCCAGGGATGGGTGAGTTATGGGGTACCTGCATGACTTCACAGTGTACCCCCAACCCACTATGATGCTTCCTTTCATGGAAATGATACTGTTGCCTAAGAAGTATTAGGTAACCAAGCTCTCAACCAATGTCCAATTCCATCTCTGCCTGGCCTCCATGGGCTTTTGAGGTTCCTCTGGGAACACCTTCTGAACCTGGCCTATCTATCCCACTACACCCACCAGTAGCCTCCCACAAGCATAGTGGCCATGAGTACAGAGGGGACCACGAGCATACCTCCTATATGTCCAGGGACTGAAGGCACAATAAAGCTGATAAGCACTGCTGCCCTCTAGGTGTGGCATATCTGACCACAGGACCCTATGTCACCTAGACCCCCAAGAACTGGAATGAGCAATGTCTGTGGTATCAGCCAGCTTTGGCTCAGTCTCCCAGAAACAAACAAACAAACAAACAAACAAAAAACATTAATCAACCCTCTCCTGACATGAACTGTTTGAAATCCAGGCTTTTTGTGTCCCCCAGAACTATCTCGACTGGCAAAACAGTCCGCTGAGCAGGTAAAACCCTGATCATCTTTATTGAACACTACCACAAACGCTGTAACCAAGGAGACATCTAGTCCCTGAGAGTGAGGTCCGATTCAGAGATAGCTCTGGGATCCTGAATGAAGAACACACACGGCTGGCAGAACAACATGGGTCTTGGGATGAGGATATTAAAGTGCAGATTCAAGGCAGCAGGCTGGGGCTCAGGGGCAGAGCACTTCCTTTTAATGTGCATGGCCCTGGGTTTGATCCCCAACACTGCAGATTAAAAAAAAAAAAAAAAAAAAAAAAAAAAAAAAAAAAAAAAAAACTAAAAAACAGTACATAATGAGAGTAGCAGCAGGCCTCTAGGCACTTTGAGCAGGGCTGGATTCCAGGGCCTATCCTGGGAAGGCACATCCAATCCTTGGGTGGATGTGAGGAGGCGTGCCAGGCCCTGTCTTTTTTGAAGCTCTGGTCTCCTTCTTGTCTAACCACTCGTGCTGTCCCTTGTAGTTTACACCTTATCTCTACCCATTTTCCTGGCTGGACTTCCCCAGTAGACTGAGGTGGGCAGTGCTGGGCTTGGCATGGGTGGGGTTTGACAGGGCTTTGGGGTGGGGTGGGGTCTCAGCTCCACTGTCAGCTCCTCAGCCAGCTGTTATCTTTTTCTACTGTGGAGAATCGGATCAGCTTCAGGCTTGGGGGCTGAGGCTTCCTGTCATCCCAGAGGTACTCTGGGGACAGCACCTTAGACGGTTTGTGCCAGATGAAGTGGCGGTTCAGGTGGCTCTCCTCCTGCCAGGCTGCCATGATGCCATTGGCTTTGTCTGCCAGGATGCCCATGTGGCAGCCCCTGGTAAACTCATACACCCTGGCTACTCGTCCCCCAAACACTGCCCCACCATAATAGAAGTCCCCCTCATTGTCTGCCACAAAGGCAGCGTAAAGTTGCCTGCGTTCATAAGGGAATTGCTGGCGAGATACAGCAAAATAACCTGGGTGAATGGCAGCCACTAGATCCCCCAAAGTCTCGGGGCCCCATGGGTTATGGAAGACCATATCCACATCGAGACAGAAGAGGTAATCTACCTCTTGGTGGGCCCTATTGGCAATGTGTTTGTTGATGGTCTCCATCCGACGCATGGAGATCTCCTCCCACTGGGAGTGACCCTGGATGGGGATGATGCTGAGGAGGCGACCGGGGCCCAGGAGGACTCTGGGAACGGCTGCAGGGTTGTGGGTAAAGAGGTAATAGTGTACTTGGTACCCACGCATAAAGAACTTTTCAGCTGACTCCAGGAAGGGCCGAATGAAGCAGGTGTACCTGGGGATGACAACTCTATCAATCACCGCTATCCATCACTGCCCAGGTCCCCAGCATGTGCTGGAGTCTACATCCTAGTTCCCCAACTCAGGAAGTCATTCAGGTCTTTCCTGGCAGTCCTCATCTGTCAAATTCCCACAATCCTTATTAAAGTTGAACACCCCTCATCTGAAAGCCCCGCTCCAGAGTTCTGGGTTAAGATTTGTAATTGTTAAAGTCTACACAAATTCTAAAATCTATACTGAGAGACACTTCTGGTCAGAGTGTGACAACCATTTGAGGCAGATCCTTAATTGTCTGTGTGTCTGTACCTATATGTGTATCTGTACACACATATGTGTACCAGAGGTTGAACATCTTCCTTCATCACTCTCCGCCTTATTCTTTGAGACAGGGTCTTTTTTTTTTTTTTTTTTTTTTTTTTTTGAAAGGGGGTTTTTTTGGTTTTTTGAGATAGGGTTTCTCTGTGGCTTTGGAAGCTGTCCTGGAACTAGCTCTTGTAGACCAGGCTGGTCTCGAACTCACAGAGATCCGTCTGTCTCTGCTGGGATTAAAGGTGTGTGCCACCACCACCCGGCCGAGACAGGGTCTTAATAAATCACCCATCTGGCAATGCTGGCTGGGCAGCAAACCTTAGTGATGTTCCTATCTATATCCCTGGGGCTGGGATTATAGGCATGTGCTGTGGGGTCTGGCTTTTTTATGTGGGTGCTGGGTATGGAACACCCATGTTTGTGTTTGCAGGGAAAGCAATTGCCAACAGAACTATCTTCCCCAGTGTCTACTGTGCTTCTTTAAAATGGACATATATATATATATATATATATATATATATATATATATATGCCACAGTGTGCCTATGGAGGTCAAAGAACAACATTCAGGAATCAGTTCTCCCCTTCTACCATGAGTGGGTTCTGGGGATCAAACTGAAGTCATCGGGGTTAGAGGCAAGAGCATTTACTAATGCCAGACAGTGATGTTAGGTATGCCCATGACCTTTGATGTTAACACTAATGATCTGCTTAGAAACATGACCATTTTATAGGCACAAATACTGAGCACCAGGAGGATGAAAGTGGCTGAGAAGCCAACAGAGGACAGAATCCAGGGAAGATGGATGCCAGATGTTGGGGACATATAGCACAGTGGATGACATGGCTCCATCCCTAAGACAGGGGTTACCTGACCTCTGAGGTCCATTTGTCATCTGGCCAGTACTTCCAGGTGAACTAAGAGAAGGCCAGGGAGGGACAGGAAAGATAGGGAGGATAAAGTCTTTTCCCATACTCTGCTATTCTTCACCTGGGCTTGTCATGCCTCCTTCTCCATAGCAGGTGAGGCCTTACATCAGAAAGCTCTGCCACAGCACTGCACAGCACTTGGCCAGGATGGCCTCTCCATTGACTAGAAACCCCAGTGGTTCAAGGAGGCCCAGACCCACCACAGCGTAATCCACTACTCACTTCCCCACGGCGAACACGGTGACTCCAATGGTCAGGTTCAATGGCTGGTACATATTCTGCAGCAGCTCTGGGTTGAAGGTTCCCTCGGAGATGATGGGTGCCAACCAGGGAGTAAGCGTCAGCAGCTCTGTGGGCCTGGCATGGGGGAGGCTCAGGCTGTGGGAGCCTTCCTGTTTAGAAGCCTAGGTAGCATCTTGGCCTTATTGCTGGCCTTCAGTTTCCCCATGTGAAAGTGAGATAATAGCTATCTCCTGCTAAAGCTGGGAAGTCTAAGAGTTGGCATGGACAGTGTCTAAAGCAGTGGTTCTCAACTTGTGGGTTGTGACCCCTTTGGGGTGGGGGTGGGGTTTTATATATTAGATATCCTGTATATCAGATATTTACATTATAATTCCTAACAGTAGCAAAATTACAGTTATGAAGTAGCAACAAAATAATTTTATGGTTGGAGTCACCACAGCATGAGGAACTGTAGTACAAGGTCACAGCATTAGAAAGGTGGAGAACCACTATTTTAGTGGGTCCTAGCACTCCCACTACAGACCAGGGGGTGTCTATAAAGTGATGGAATATGCCACTGGGGACAAGCCCCTATCCAAGGCATGTGATACAGTACCACTGTCTACTGTTCCAGCCTCCTGAAAAGTAGGGAATATTATGATCTCCTCAAAAGGTAAAGCTTAGAGCAGACAGCCAACTGCCTATGGTCACACAGCTAGTGAAAGATGGAGCTCAGCTCCCTGACTCTCTGGGGCCCAAGGCCCCTTTACTATAGGCACTGCCACCATCCTCTAGCCACATTGTAACTCTCTGGCTCCCCTCCCTGCCACTACCAGGACATTCCCTGATACCTACCTGTGTTCTAGCAGCATAGGCTGAGGGTACTGCAACCTGTAATCAAGAAGGGCCTGTGTAAGAAAGGCAGCCCCAACTCCTGGGGCCAGAATCTAGGGAGAAAAGGTATACTTACTTTGTCACGGGCTGGAATGACTTCTGCCTGAACTGCAGCTTCATGTTGCTGGTGACAAAGAAAAGAGTGGGATTTGTTCAGGACATTTTAATATAGGCTTGAACATGAAGGTTAAGAGAGAGGCTCTTAAATAAAACACACCCGAGATGATGCATGCAGGCTCAAGAGAGGGTCACCTTACCTTTTCTTTGAGAGAGGGTCTCTCGCTGGCTTGGAACTTACCCAAAAGGTTAGGATGGTAGCAGCAAGCCCTAGAGATCTACCTGTCGCCACCTCCTCGATATGGGAACTATAAAGGAGTACACGCCACCACACCCATTGTTTTTACACTTTCTGGAGGACAAACTTGCAAGGAAAGCACTTTCTTTATTGAGCCCTCTCACTGGCCCTATTTCAATCATTATTCAATAAGTGCACAGTTCACTGGAATGGTTGCAAAACCATCACTATCACTTGTGTCAAGAATGTTTTCTTGCTGGACGGTGATGGCACACAACTTTAATCCCAGCACTCAGGAGGCAGAGGCAGGTGGATCTCTGTGAGTTCGAGACCAGCCTGTTATACAAGTGCTAGTTCCAGGACAGCCTCCAAAGCCACAGAGAAACCCTGTCTCGAACGCCCCCCCCCAAAAAAAATCCTGCCTGCTTGCCTGCCCCACCTTGCAGTTTCAGAGTCTACAATGAGAATACAAACTGGGTCTGGGAGCAGAGGCTTTCAGGGACTGTTCTGGCTGCGGAGATGCCCCTGGAGGCATCTCTCTTACATTCTCACTGGCATCAAAGTGCTTATTCCAGAAAGATTCTTGCAATATTCTTGAGTGAACTCGCATAGTATCTGCTCTTCATGATTTCCATTCTTTAAACTCCATTTACTATGTCCCTGCTCAGAAAATAAAGGGTTTCTGAGGAGGAGGTTAGAATCAGGAAGAGGATGCTACACCAGGACGCAGCATTCTGTGCGGCCTGACAGTGATTTCATTTTCCTACAAGTCCAGACATGCTCTGGCTCCATTGGGGAATGACACAGAAAAATACAGAAGCTGAGGCTGAGAGTGTAGTTCAGGGGAAGGGAACCTGTGTACCATATAGGAGGCCAAGGGGGTTGGCCTTAGCCGAGCACACTTGTCAAAAAAGAACTTCGTATCTCTAAGTGCCTAAAGGCAATAAAATGAAAGTACAGATGAGCTTGGCATGTTAGCACATGCCGGTGATCCCAGCAACCAGAAGTAAAGAAAAGAAAATTGGGAGCTCAAAGTCATCCTCATGAGCACACTTGTCAAAAAAGAACTTCGTATCTCTAAGTGCCTAAAGGCCATATAATGAAAGTACAGATGAGCTTGGCATGTTAGCACATGCCGGTGATCTCAGCAACCAGAAGTAAAGAAAAGAAAATTGGGAGCTCAAAGTCATCCTCATATGTATAGATTTCAGGGCCAATGTGCTTAGTTTTCTGGTCAACTTGACACAATCTAGGTGATCTTGGGACAGGGAACCTCAGCTGCAGAATTCCTCAATCAGATTGATCTATAGGTAAGTCTATCGGGGGCCTTTTTCCTGATTAATTACTGATCAATCGCTGGGCAGAAGGTCCTGGATGGTATAAAAAAACAGGCTGAGCAGTGGTGGCTCATGTCTTTAATTCCATCACTTGGGAGGCAGAGGCAGGTGGGTCTCTAAATTCAAAGCCAGCCAGGGCTACACAGAGAAAGCCTCAAAAACAAAAAGAAAGAAAGAAATGAGAGAGAGAGAGAGAGAGAGAGAGAGAGAGAGAGAGAGAGAGAGAGAGAGAAAAAGAGAGAGAGAGAGAGAACAAGCTGAGCAAGCTATGAGGAACAAGCCAGTAAACAAGTTCCTCCATGGCTTGTTTCAGTTCCTGACTCCAGGTTCCTGCCTTCCCTTTCATAATGGGCTATGATGGGGACATGTAAGCCAATAAATTTTTTTCTCCCCAAGCTTCTTTTTGGTAATGATGCTTTGTTTTGGTCTGGCTTGGTTTTGGTTTTTGAGACAGGGTTTCTCTGTGTAGCTCTGGCTGTCCTGGAACTTGCTTTGTAGACGAAGCTGGCCTCGAACTCACAGAGATTCACCTGCCTCTGCCTCCTGAGTGCTGGGATTAAAGGTGTGCACCACCACCATGGCTAGTTGTGATGTTTTATTACAGTAATAGATAGAAATCTAAGTAGGACAGGGTGGTAGTTTGAATAAGAGTGGTCTCTATTGGGTATAGGTATAGGTGTGGCCTTGTTGGAAGAAGTGTGCCAGTGGGAGTGGGCTTTGAGGTTTCAAAATCCCATGCCAAACTCAATCTCTCTTCCTGCAGATCAGGATGTAGAACTCTTAGCACCACATCTACTTGTGTTCTGCCAAGCTCCCAACTATTTTTTTTAAAGATTTTATTTATTTATTATGTATACAACATTCTGCCTCCATGTATATCTGCACACCAAAAGAGGGCACCAGATCCCATAACAGGTGATTGTGAGCCACCATGTGATTGCTGGGAATTGAACTCAGGACCTCAGGAAGAGCAGTCAGTGCTCTTAACCTCTGAGCCATCTCTCCAGCCCCCCAAGCTCCCAACTATTATGATAATGGACCAACTTCTGAAACTGTAAGCAAGCCCCCAATTTCATACTTCCTTTTCTAAGAGTTGTCTGAGTCATGGTATCTTCACAGCATCAGAACAGTGATTAAGACAGACACTCTATCTACATAAGACCATGTACAGGAATTGGAGAGATGGCTCAACGGTTAAGAGAACTGGCTGCTCTTTCAGAGGACCTGGGTTCAATTCCCAGTATCTACATGGTGGTTTATAACCACCTGCAACTCCAGTTCCAGGGGATCTGATATCCTCATTTGGCCTCTGAGGGCATCAAGCACATCGTATATAGACACACATGCAGGCAGAACACCCATACATATTAAAAAATAATAATAGCTAAGCAGTGGTGGCTTGTGCCTTTAATCTCAGCACTCAGGAGGGAGAGGCAGGTGAATCTCTGAGTTTGAGGCCAGCCTGGTCTACTGAGTAAGATCCAGGACAGCTAGGACTACAAAGAGAAAACCTGTCTTAAAAAAGAAAACAAAGTCGGTGGTGGTGGCCCAAGCTTTTAATCCCAGCACTCGGGAGGCAGAGGCAGGGGGGTTTCCGGGGGGTTGAGGCCAGCCTGGTCTCCAGGGCGAGTGCCAGGATAGGCTCCAAAGAGAAACCCCGTCTCAAAAAACCAAAAAAAAAAAAAAATGCTAAAAACCCCAATGAATAAATAAATAAAATGTGTGTTATCTCCTGGGAGCACCACTCCCAGACCCCTGTCTCTGAAAAGTCTTCAGTTGCTTTTCTAGACCTGAGTGTTCACTCACTGTCCAGGCATTAGGTGGGGATAGTTAATTCCAGCTACAGTGGGAACTCCAGGCTTCTTGGGGTTTGAGTAAGGACACCTGGGACCTGGTCCTGGGCAGTCTCAGCCAGAGTTAAACATTTGAATTGTTTGTTTATGGAGTCTGCAGCATGAGCATGCAGAATCTAGAATCTCATCTCCTAGATGTGGGAAGCTGAGAATTGAACCAGGGTTCTGTTAGACTGAACCACCTCCCCGATCCCCAGAGTCAACTTTTAAACCTAATGTTTAAAATAATTTTTAATCCTCACGTTCAGTTGGCAATTTTGGTTTTGCACATTTAAGATCAATAAAGCCTAGTTCTCTTAAAAAAATACATGTGTGTTATCAAATAGCTTTATAGTTCAGATGCTTAATTTTTCTTTAGCCTCAACATGAGGCCTATCTTTTCATTTTCAGCTGTCAAACAGTTTCACCAAGTAGGGAAGGCTAAAGCCACTCAGTTCCCTGCACCCACACAAAATGGAGCAAGAGGTCCCTTCCTACCAGGGCTGTTTACTGACTACCTTCTATGTACCAAGACGCCAGGCTACTCAGGTGCAGCAGCCCAGGAAAGGTATCTCTACCATCCCATCTAACAGGCACGGCAAGCAATTAGCAAGACCCATAGCTCATGCTTTTGGTCTAAAGCCAAAGCATGCTGAGGGCAGCAGGATACTTGAAGGCTGAAATCTCAGGGTCACTGTATGTCTGTGGCAGCTGTGGCACTTCTCAGAACCATAAGCCCTCAAACAATACATGTGTGTTATCAAATAGCTTTACAGTTCAGATGCTTAATTTTTCTTTAGCCTCAACACGAGGCCTATCTTTTCATTTTCAGCTGTCAAACAGTTTCACCAAGTAGGG